ATTCATGCTCCAAAAAACCCAAGGCTTTTTCTCTTCTCTTCTGCTCTGTCTCCCTGTAAGAAACAGACCTGAAACAAGCTAAGGGGGGGAAAAAATATGTATATGGAAAAATAACAGGAATCACAATGCTGAAACAAAACAAGCAGGAAAAAAGAAAGCAAAGGGTCTTTCTTCTCTTTGCAGTGGGGACGGCAGGTGGGAGCTTTCTAAGCCAGACAAAGGAGACCTGACAAGGAACTGTGGTGAAGGGACAAGCCCAAGGCAAAGAAGTGGCCGGTCACCTCTTCTCCTGGAGCAGGCAGCAGAGACCTGGATAGACAGGAGACATTTTGCAAGACTCAGCACCTGGAGCAGTGCTAACCAGGCAAGGACCCAGCTCTGTTGCTATCAGGGTTTTGATATCTCTTTCTCTTTCCTTCTTTCTTTCTCTGTTTGTGTGGTTGTGTAGTTTTGTTGCATTCATTAAGGTAAATAAGCACTTGGTAAGTGGGGCAGGAGGGAGCAGCAGCAGCTCTGAAGATCAATGGGGTTTCTCTACGCCTTAAAAAACCCCTCTAGAGAGCATTTTGGGGCTGGGGTGGTTGTTTGCTGGTTGAAATATGGTGCTCTTTAAACCGAGCTGTGTTTTCTGGGAGGGTGATGTCTCAGCTATGCCTTTATCCCATTGTCTTGGTCTGTAACCTTCCCTGGGCTCAGAGATGCTGCAGAGCATCAGCGGCAGGGAAGGGGATGTGGGGAGCCAGGCAGTTACTATGCAATTAATTTGTATGTGGTACTTCCTTATAAAAATAAACCCCAGAGTGTGTGTCTTGGCCAAGAGAAAAGGATTGGAGTGAGCCAGGACTGAGTGTGTGCCAGCAGAGCAGGCTGACAGTTCCTTGCAAGAAGCTTTGCTGTAGATGATGGTGGTGGTGGAGGGGAAAAAGCAGAAGGAGAAAGTTCTCCAGGTTGAACTGAACCTCCCAAGTGAGAGGAATTAAAACCAGGCTTTAATGGGGGTGTGGATGCAAAGCAAGAGACTGCAATAAATTGGGTTGTAGCTGCCTTTCCTGCCAGATTGTCCCTGCTCCATAGCTCCTCTCCCTGCCCCAGCTCCCTCCCATTGGCTTTGGACACCACGGTTGTCCTCCATGCAGGGCTCAGCCCCAATTCTCAGATCCTGCTGCAGAGCAGAGCAGGATGGTCTGGGGCGATGCTCAGCAAAGTGGTCTCTGCCTGGGTTTGTTCCTATCCATGATGTGCTGGTTGAAACCTGGAAAGAAACCCTCCCTTGGCTCCTCAGCTGCCCCTGTTACTCAGGAGGCTTTGGAAGTCCCCACTAAGCCCGGCTGGTTTTGGTCTCTGAGCACTCCCACTTCTCTCCAGTGATTCAAACCTGCAGCTCTAAGGGGGAAACAGGGTATCTCAGTGGCATCCAGGAGACAGCTCCTTGCAGCTTTGCTGCTTGGCTGCCTTAGATATATCTTTCACTGGTCCGTGCCTCAGTTTCCCCATGTGTGTAATAGTGGTAATTTGCTGCCTTCATTATCAAAGTACTTTGACATTTACTGGGGAAAATAACTGTGCAGGCAAAGGAATGATCGTTTCCTGGAATATGGCTGGGTCTTTTCTAGCTGCTTCTCTGCACTGCCTTGATACCATACAGATAAAATCCTGTGCTGCAGGAAATTGCTGCTGACCTATTAAAGTCAATTGATCTGTGCTGGTTCACACGGGCAGAGGAACCAACTCAGTGGCTTATCCAGTGTCTGCCCAATACATCCTTTGTGAAAGCTCGTCTTGGCTCACCCCAGGTGTCACAGGTCGTGGCTGGAGATGCAGGTCCTCTTCTAATTAAACCGGGGCACATTAAAGGCTGTGCCCAGGTCAGTCCCAGGGAAACCTCATAAGGAAAGGGCTTAGCACAGGGCATGCACAGAAGAGCAGGAATAAGAAAGGAGAAATAGCTGTTAGAAATGATGCAGGGACACGTATTTCATAGCCATAGGCTGCACTGCCTCAGGTAGAGCATCACTTGCTAATCCTCCCTGGCACAGGAGAGCACAAAGCTGTACTGTGACCCTTCCCTACTGTTCCCCTGCACTAGGTGGGCAGCCCCAATGTCGACCAAGCTCTACGTCCTCATCAGCTGGCCCGACGGCAGCCGGGTGATCAATATTGAGAACATCAAGGAGCCCCGCAAGCCCTTCCACCTCTATGCAGTGGGTGAGCAGGTGCTGGCCCGCTGCCCTGGCTTCAGCGGGCTCTACTGGGGCATGGTGGAAGGCATAAGTGGTGAGTGGCACCCCTCTATCCTCAGCTCTGCAATGTGGGGCTGCTCAGGAGCAACCTTTAGAGGAGTTCAGTGCTGAAAAGTCCTCTCTTCCTACAGAGCATAAAGATATTTTAGAGAAGAAGCTGCTGGAAGATCGACAGCTCCTGGAGAAGCTGAGTGAGTAAGGTTTTGGAAGGTTGCGCCTTTCTAATTCCATTGGCATTTTGGGGTGGGAGGATGCTGAGTTTGTTCTAGCCCTGTCACAAATATCACATCACACAATCAGGGTGACAAGTCCTGGGTGGGAGGTGGAAGACACCCAACACTGATATCCCATGGCTCATCTCGCCTATCTGCCTTGCTTTCAGAAGAAGAACCAGCCGTCCACAGCATGATGACACCCCAGCCAAAGAAATCCAGGAAAACCTTCCCAAAGTGGACCCCGGGGAATGCACCCAGGAAATACCACAGCGACAGGACTTACCCTGCAAAGCCCCTGCTGAGGGCGGCCGAGGCCAACCTGCCCCACGGTGCTGGCAGCTCCTCCATCATCAAGGAGAGACGTGCTCTGGGCAATGCAGCAGCAAGGTCCCGCTCGCTGCCAGGTCCCCCCCACCCAGCCGGCGCCTTCACACCTCCATCCACGTTTGTCACCGTGGCCGTGCCGGGGACTTCCCAGGGTGAAGAGGAAGGGGTCGGTCCAGCTGCTAGAGGTAACTGTGGCTGTAAATTAGGACATTGGCTTTTCGTGCTCTCCTGCCTTATCCCGAGTGGCAGGTTGGGATGGGGACCTGCAGAGCTGTTTTGCTCCTGGGCTCTGTGTGCTTTTTCCCAGGGCTACAAATGTTAGAGATGACATTTTAAGGTCCTTTCCATGTGGGGTATCTCTTCCAGGAGGGCTGTCTAAAGGGACATGCTGTGTGATAGCATATGCTTTCTACTCTATAAGGCGCCAGTCCTGCCTCCTGGATTAGCAGTTCTTTCTCCAGAAGCTAAAAACCAATCTAGCTTGCCTGAATAACTGAAATACCCCAAAGCCTTGTGTCTCAATTAGTCATACCTTCTCAGATTTGCCTACTTCCCTGCTTTTCCATCCACTACTACATACATTAAACATGCTTACAAAAATATGCTAGTGCATTACCTTCCTGCTGGCTAACAGCATTTCCAGAGTCACGGTGGCTCTGCTTGCCTTGCCCACTATGTCTTTTATGATAGCAACAGAAGAAGAACATTTGAAATGTCACCTTTTTTAACAACAAAATCCCCATTGTTCAATCCTGGAAAGCGTGTCTGAATCACTCTGTTTATGCAAAGAGAATAATGTGTTGCCATGCAATCTAGCAGGAGCGCTTAGATAATCTATTCTGGAGATAGAGGGATTCAGGACCTTTTCAGCAGCTTGTTTCCCATCCCTGCCTGTAGATTATGTTGCCCTGCCGATGAAGAGGAAGTCAGATGGCACCTTGTCCCAGTGCCAAAACCACATCTGCCTGAACAGGTACCGCTTGAAAGCACTGTGAGGACCCTGAATGTTTCACACCATATACGTTCATTTCCTAGTGTGGGGTCTGCCCACTCTGTTTCCACACCCTGATGGTGCTCACTTTGAATAGATGTTAATGAAGACTGATACCCAAAGTGCAAAAGATAAAGGGAGTTTGTGTGGGTACATCCTGCAGATCAAACGGGAGGTCCCCTGTATCCATGGTCCGGGGCTTGCTCTGCTTGGAAGGGAGGGTGCACAGGAGGTTGTCCTCATGAAGAACCATTGATACTTCCTCTCCATCCATTTTATTCTTACTGTAAGAGAAACCAGAACTGCTTTGAATTCCGACCTTTGACTTACAGATAATTCTCTTTGGGAATGAATATGAACATAGAGATTTTTGTGGCAGTGTTTTTTAGCTTGCTTATTTCTTCCAGCTGTGAGGAGCGCAAGCTCGATGCTTTGCAAGAGACAGATGACTTTGAGAGAGTTCAGAAGAATTTTGGTCCTGCTCTGCTGAAATGGAAAGGTGATTAGCTAAAGAAGGCACTTGTTCTTAACTGTGTTTTCCTCCTCCCTACAACAGAGAGCAGTGAGACCACAGCTGGGTGAGAAAACGGTGCAATTTTAGAACCAAGAGCTGCTGAATCACTATGTAATCAGAGCCAGGGTTTTCTTTCTGGTTGTAGGAGTTAGAGATGCAAGAAGGCTCTAAGAGTGCAGAAACCACAAAGCTCATGCCTATAACAATCAAATGACATCTATCATGCTTGAACATGACTGTGTTGTTGCTTGGTTTATTTTACTATATTTAAAGTCCATTACTCCGATGATAAGTACCCAGTGATGAAGTAGCTGCTAGGGACAGTTTTATTGCAAAGAAATGGGTGTCAAAAATCACCTTACAGTACTGCCTTGTCATTTCCTGGGTGTCATTTCATACCACATACATGTGCCTCCTGAGGACTGCGGCACAGGGCTTCTATCTTTCCTTAAAACTGAGAAGATAACATCGAAGTCTCCATACATGCATGACATGGAGGGGTTGGGGGTTAAACTGAACATTTCTGAGCTACTGAAAAGTCCAGGCCATGTCGTTCTTCTCTTCTGCCATAGCTGGGTGCGCTGACACTCTGGCAGAGAAGTTGTCCTGTCCCTGCTTGGGTGGTGGTGCTACATCCTTTAGCAATGTTCATGGTGATTCCACAGTGTCTTCTTGCCTTTAGACATCTAATACTGTTTTTTCAGGGTGGAGAAGATAGAGCAGCTGGAGAGGATGGTGTTGGACCTCCAACAAGATGTCCTCTCTCTGAAGAAGAAGGTGCAGAGGCTGGAATCCTTGTCCTTCCAGGAGGACCCCCACCGGCAGCCGTGCGAGGTGGTGGAGCTCTTCAATGGCTACACCAAGGAACAGCTCAAAGAGACCATCCGCTTTGACCAGAAAATCAGCACTGCCTGCAAGACGCTGCTCTACAAGCTCTTCACATCCGACTACATCCAGAGTCACTCCATCACGGGCCGGAGGGGCAACACCTTCCGAGAGGCGAAGCCCATGATGGATGAACGTTGCATCAAAATCATCCGGGTGCTGCTGAAGCAGAAGTTTGGAGATCACCTCAGTGACACAGTGATCACGGAGAAGATACAAAACGTGCAGAAAGCCCTGAGGCAGAAGTTTAAGACAGAATGTCTCTGATGTGGGGGGGACTTGGTGCCTCTTCCTGCCATGCTCATCCCTGTACCTAAGCAAAGACAAGACGAGTCCAACCTGCTGCTCTTCAGCTGATTCCCCCCAAAGAAGGGGGAATCAACCCCCAACCTGAGTGAACCTCACAATGCAAACCTTTCACTGCCAAACCTCTGCCTGCATTAATGGAGCAGATGTTTGGGATGTTTGCCCAGCTTGGCTAGGCTTTGGCACATCTGCTCCCACTTTACAAGCTCCTTTCCCTCCAGCCTGTGTGCAAGCATCACTGCAGGGTGATTCTAATGATCTCCAGACCTTTTTGATGGATGTGCTCAAAACCTTGAGGGTTCCCCTTGGGTTCAAGTATGGGTCAGTAAATCAGCTTTGTTCTACCTTGCAGTGGGATAGGGAGAGAAAGATTGGCTCTGGGGCAGGTGGACTTTGTGTCACCCAACAAGGCTTCTCTCTGCATGCCTGTGGCTGTCTCTTCCTGCCTGTGGGTCAATACTTCCTCTCTTTGCTCCCAGTGAATGTGTTTTACAGTTTCTTGCAGTAACAGAGAGGTGGATTCATTAAAACACCACCAGAAAACATTCGGAGAAAGAGAAGTTGATTTTTTTCCTCTGTTTCAATGTAGCTGTGTGGAAGAAGTGTCTTCACTAACAAAGATCTGCTGACCAGGAGAAGTGGTCACCCGTGCAAATCACTTTACATTAATTTTCCTTCCAAAACCAGGTTATTTCCATGGAGAAATCCTGTATGTTTTTATGACATAGAAGTGATGGATCGAGGGAAAAATATGGTCCACTGTAGTTACACCTTTTCTTTAAAGATCAGGCATATTATGAACACAATCACTATAATTTAAATAGTTATTTATATCCTGGTCAAGAAATTCCAGGAACAACCAGGGATTTTTCTGTGTAAGAGGCTATAGAAAAGGGCTAGAAAGACATGTTTGTTCCTAAATAGTTCAGAGCTGGCATTTCAGTGGGTTAGAAGTGATTTTAACTTTAATAGAATAAGATGCTGACACCAGCCCACCTAATATAGAAGAGCTACAAAATACCAAACATTCCCTTTTAAAGAGGCTTCTCAGGCAAGAAATTGGTTTTCTGAGCTTAATGTTTAGATTATTCAGGAAAGGAAATGTCAGTTGTTTTGCACTAATCAAACCATTTGGTTTAATTTATATGTTTTGTTCTGTTTTCAAGGATTTAATTTCTTCACAGCTACATGAGAAATAATAATGCAAAATAAATGTATTGGAAAGGAAGGGCCTGTTTTGAAATTAAAAAAAGGGAAATGTGTTATTTGCAGAATATTTCTTCCCCCTCTCTCTTTTTTTATAGTTGAAAAACAAAATCATTAATGTAGGGTTAATGCTATGAAGCGTTTTGATTTTGGTGGGAGTTACGCTTGCCAACATATTTGGCACTGCTTTCATCGGATGTGTTTAACAGTCATGCTAAATTGCTGTAGCCAGTAACTAAAGATATTCCTCCTGTTTCCCCAGTGCAACTGCTTCCCTTAACTCTCTGTTATGCAAACATGCCAATGATGATTTCTCACTTGTATGGACCTTGACTTGAGCAGCAGCTGGAGCTGGTCTGCTGTGATCACTTAGAGCCAGGAGTGCAGCCAGGCCTTGGAAATATGCTCAAACTGAGCAGAACTGCCCCAAAACCTCAATGCAGAAACACCCCATCCTCACTGTGAGGGTGCTGAGGCTCTGGCACAGGGTGCCCAGAGAAGCTGTGGCTGCCCCATCCCTGGCAGTGTTCAAGGCCAGGTTGGACACAGGGGCTTGGAGCATCCTGCTCTGGTGGAAGGTGTCCCTGCCTGTGGCAGGGAGTTGGGATTGGATGAGCTTTAAGATCCCCTCATTTCCCCATGGACATCACAGCAGATGGGATGGAGAGGATGAGTACCACCCGCCCAGCGAGGGACCACCATCACCTCCTGGGTGGCCAGGGCTGCATCCAAGCCATTTGTCTGGGCATACATTTTCGCCTTAATCTTCCCTCCTGGTGCTCCATCAGATCCCTCACTGAGATGCAGCCTTGAAAGCCAGCTCACAAGTACTATTTATTAAAACATGTGCTGCTGCTCTCCCCCACTGAGCCCCCTCCAATGAGCTGCAGATCATTACAACAAAAGGAGGCACAAAAAAGGCCCAGAGGATGGACTTGCTGCAGGGAGAGATGGCTCCTGAAATGAGTCGTCTCTAATCAGCTCCTCTGGAAGCAGATGAGCTGGTCGACCTTTCTGCTTGAAAGCCTTTTGGTGATTCCCTTGGAGGTAAACTTCACAGCCTAATCCTCTTGCTGATATGCAGTGAGTGCTCCCAGGAAGCAGGGCCAGCAGTGTGGGGATGGATGCTTTCTGCACAGCACAGCCACGCAATAACAAGCTGATGCTGAAATGGGCCCTTCTCAGCTGTAAAAGTTGTCCTTAGCTACTCTCAAAGGCTTTGATATGGTGGAGAGGGCTGAAGAAAGGTGACACAGCTGTTTTTTTGTTAAACTTCATTTTTAAGGTGTTTGTGAAAGAGAGGCAGCGTTTCCAGGCTAATTGGGAGCGCTCACAGCCATCGACAATCAAACGTCACTGCAAGGATGCTGATGCTCTCACCTCCTTGAACTCCAGCTCTGGCTAATCAGCCTCAAGAGGGATGATCATACAGTGCTGAGACGTGGCATCCCTTTGGGGATGAAGGGGTCAGGGAAGATAGGGGAGGAGGAGGATTTATGCTAGAGCCACTTCACATGGGGATGTTCAAAGCTCATGTCTCTCTCTAAGTGATGAAGGGCAACTCCAGTGAATTGCATTAACCTCCCACTTTAAGAGAATTACTGGGAGAAGCTGGATAGGTCTTTCTGTTTAAGTGAATTGCTCAGCATCTTGTTAAAAACCATGCTCCTGGTTAGCTTCTGGGCCCTCTGGGGGCAGGAGGACATGGGCAGTGAAAACAAGGGTCAAAACTCAGGGTGCCAGCAACACACAAGTTTCAGGGGAAAATGGGAGCCTTCCCTGCGTTAGGCTTCTGCAATTCCCAATTGTGGAGATGCTGCTGATGCGGTGGCTGACTTCACATGGGATACAATCCCCAACAGCCAAAACAAGAGGGAAGTTCTCTGGTGTTTAACCCCATTTATTTCAGTTTTATCTCCTGGACTCTGCAGGGGGATTCCAGCATCCAGCATGGATGGATTTTAATTTGTCCATTTATTGGCCTGTAAGAAACACACCATGAAGTGTCTCAATATCTGCACCCCCCTGAATCTGCAGCACGTGACTTTAGTGAAAACATGTCAACTGTGAGTATCAGTAAAGGAATAATGGGAAAATATAAGTAAATCCCTTGGGTTTTACTCAAGGCTGACAAAGCCTGGCTTGCCTTTACGTGGGTCTCAGGCTGCCATCGCTGAGGCTGTTCGAGCTTGTTGGATGCATTTGGAAGAATCTCTGATGCAGAATTAGTGGTGCAGCAGGTGGTGGAAGTGTCTTGTGCCAGCTTCAGATCCTTCCGCAGACAGCTGGAGGAATGGGATGCAGCCTATAGAGACCTCAGCTGGGTGGAGGGTCAATGACTGTTAAAAAGGACAAGCCTTGGCCTGTATGAGCTTGAAGCTGTGTGCCATCTCCTTGTGCTCAACGTGTGAACACCCAGTGACACCAGAACGTTGTTATTGTTCTGATAAGTCTTTATCTCTTTTGGCTCCAGGAAGACAGCAAAAGAGAGAAAATGCACATAAAGATGTGGCCCCAGAGCTATATGTGTGTATTGTATCTGCATATTATGTTTTGACATGAATAATCCTTTTATCATTTTACATTTTTCTTGACAGCATATCTGTGTGTGTGTTGGAGAGTGCATACACGTACCTGGTAGGTGTGCAGATATATCACATCTTCATAGAATCCCTGACTGGTTTGGGTTGGAAGGGACCTTAAAGCTCATCCAGCTCCAATCCCTGCCATGGGCTGGGACACCTTCCACTAGAGCAGGTTGCTCCAAGCCCCTGTGTCCAACCTGGCTTTTAGTCTTTTATAACCTTATAACTTCAAGCAATCTTTCATGTCCCTGCTCCAGTCACATATTCATTACACATAATGTTTACCAGTATTTCTCTGTCTGCAGTACATAATTACGTCTTTCCGACTCCTATCTCTCTATCTCCCCCATCTATTCAGTCAAATATAACTGGGGAGATCATTATTAAAACACAGAAAGCACAGAAATAAAATTAACCACGGTGCTCTGTGCGCTCAATACACTGAGGAAATAAAGGACCTTCCACTTCTAATAAAATCTGGATATGAATTGCCTCATAAGAGCTTAAATGAATTATATTCAGAGGCTGAAAAGAGAGAGCTCAGAGCCCTCCGACTGCAGCATGATGGCTCTCGTTGCCTTGATGCGCAGCACGTGGAAACATACCATGAAAGCCTTGGAACCAGGTGTGATGCTCTGCTTAGAAACTCAGCTTTAGGACTTGATGAAGTTCTTATGTCACAGGTCCTCAGGTGGTTAAAGCTCCTCCCAATGAAATTTTAATCCTATTAAGGGTACCAGAGCTCTTCCTGAGGACTCATCTATCACTTTGGCTCTTGCATAAGCCCCTTGGTGGTGGAGAAAGGACCTTGAAGATGAGTGCTGTCTTCTCAACCTTGTGTTTGCCCTTCTCTGATCCTCCCAGTGTCCCATGAAGGATTTGAGGTATGGAAGTGGTTTGTAAGCTTTAAAGTGCTGGTGAGGAACATGTCCCAGCCCCTCTTCCTTGTAAAGCCTCAGTTCTCCCTTGTCAACAGCATGTACCTGCTGTCCCGGGACATCATCATTCACGTGAGGTGCGGTTTGGAGACGTGCTTTCTTTACTTCCGTGTTTTCTGGGGTGGGTTTTCTGTTTGGCACATGGAGTTAACTGGAGCGAAGGGGACTGTGTGCTTAACTCAGCAACGGAGAAATTAGTGCCCCACAAAGCCCAGGACTGCATGGTGCTTATTGATTGTTTCTCTTCAATATAAGCAGTGTAGCCCAGAGTGTCACGCAGCCGAGGGAAGAGGAGACAGCAGAACTGATGTACTCCTGGTAATGAATAATCGTT